CGCGTTCGCTCTGGCCCGGCCCTTTGGCACGGAATTCAGTCTTAGATGGGTTCCGGAGCCCTCTTCTCCTTACTTGCAGGAATTCATGAACCCTCAACCCCAAGAGTTGAAATTACAATCTTTGGGTTCTTGGTGACACTTCTTCCTCTCCCCACTCTGCTATAACTCGATGTGGTTTTCACAAAATGGAAAAGTGACTGTTTAGGAAGGAGGGGGTGGTTGGGGACAAGTGGCCAGAAGAGCAAGATTCAGTGGAACCAGGTGCCTATGTCCTAATAGGTTCCGATTCAAACTGATGGCAGCACAGTTTTACGGGGGACTTCCCGGATAGCTGTTATGAAATACAACTCAGATTTATGATCTTTTTCATATTGAACATGATATGCTATGCTAACGCTGCATGTGACAGTTTAATCAAATCCATTTGTTACCACAAAGCTAAAGGGGGCCGCTGGGATTTTAGGATTACGGGCAGAGTTAGGGAAGCATGTGGCTTTGTCATTCGCCATCATTTTGCACACTGCCACACTGCGAGGGGCTCTGTGTGTGCGCCGCGTCTCGTCTGGCCGCACTCGTCCCTTCCCCCACCCCCTGCCGCCACTCCGACCCGCTCCCAAAGTGGCTTCACAATAGTCGGTCCTCAGCAGTGTAGGCTGCGCACCAGGTCCACACTTGAGCTAAATAAGGAGACCCCTTTCCACATCTACCTTTGGGTTTGGTGCTCCATGCGAAGCCGCTGCAACTCAGGCACGCCTAAATCAACTCATGCAGAAAAAGGAGAAAAGTTTTGGTAAGGTTACAATCTATCATGGATGCACTTTGCCGGCGCTCGGCACTCTTGGCTGCTCAAAAGCCTCCCTGCTCTTCGGCTGCTTTTGTGTCTTTGTAAAAGATCCAAAATATTATTGTTGTAACTGCTTTGAAAGACTGCTGCTTAAACCAATTAATTTGGCTAGGTGCAACAAATACTGCTACATTCTTTGCAAATCATCCCTGTGTGGATGCAAAGACACAACCACAAAAGGCTGGAGCATAACTCCGCAAGGGATTCTTTGTTAGAGTGTATGTATGTTTCTTATTTTTTTTTTTTTTTTTTATTTTGCATGTGAGCTGCATCAAAATTGAACTCAGTCTTGCAAATCTCTTGTTGGCCTTTGCCAAGCACTAGCACTTTGCTGCCATGGTAACTGTAATTAAACTGATAAGAGTGGAAAAATGTCAGTATCTCTGAGCCTTGCAGCTGCATTGGAGAAAAAGGGAATCAAATTGGTTCCCAGCTCCATTGCTCAAAAAGGGGAGGGGGTGGTGGAAAGATGGGGAGGGGGGCGAGTTGAAGGGGCAGAACAGAGTTAAGCAGCTCCAGCGCCTGAGATCTAGGGACATCTATTTGCATTGTTGTCCCTTAGGGGGCTGCAGCCTGTAGGGATGCTCTGGGCCAGTGAACAGAGAGAAACAAGCTTTTAGGCCCAATCCAGTTCTCCAATCGGGGCTGAGGGCTGGGAGAGGATGAAGATGGGCAGGAGGAGAGAAAATCTTTTGTTTGGTACCTCTTGGCAATCGAATGGCTGTGTTGGCCAAATTCTTTTAATCTGTGTCACTGCTCCCAGCTGCAGAACCTGCATTCCCATTTTAGCATCTTCCTGAGGCACCTCATCTCTGCCAACCCCCTTTATGTATTCCCTCTAACAATTCCTTCTCCCAGATTGTTCTCTGTGAATCTTCCGACGGGGACAAAATGTTTTCCATTCACTATGTGCAGTTAGTCCAAAAATATAAAAGACTGTGTCTAAGTGCTGCAAATCTTTTATTATGATTATTTTTTTAAACCCCTGTGTGTTGTGGAGTTGTGGTTACTTTGTTGTGTTAACTACTGAAGCTGAGACTGCTCGGATGAATGGCACAGAACAAGGGAACATAATGGAGGCAATCAACCGTTAGGCCGCCTCACAATGCAATCCAGGCAATTAAAAGCTCACCAGAGTTTAAATGAAATGGCTCTACTTATTTCTGCACACCACACTGCACAGGCTATTATTTATGTCTTTTTTTTAATTATGATTTCTCTTAAACTGTCAAATAACTCAGAATGGCAGGGTCTCAGAGGCAATAAGAATTTCCCTCAGAACAATTTACATGCCAATCTTAAACTAGTTATGAGTCCTGATGTGCTATGAGCAACTTGTGAAATGTTTCTCAGCTCCAAACACATAACTCTACCCAGACCTGTTCTCTGGCTAGTGTGAGGAGGCTGCTGACTGCTTTATGCTTTTAAGGTTCATGGCAAAGTGGTGACTACAAAATAGTTCTTTTTCTACAACTGGGGAAATTGCATAGTATTGAAAAGATTTCCTTTTCAAGAGAAATGTGGGGATGTTCTCTAAAAGAAGGCACCGGAATGGAGTGTAAAATATCAAACTCCTTTTCCGCCCAAGGCCAAACAGAATGCAAGAGTTTCAAATATTAATTGGCCTCTGAGTGCTAAATTAAAATGTCAACACAACAAAAACATTTTGTGGAGACAAGCAGGGTAGTGTTGCTTGTGCCAAATGTTGGTATTCTCTGTCTTGGTTGCAAAGCATTTTGAATAAAGATAGCTGACCTTCCAGGCTTGATGGTAGTAACGCAACTTGGAAATATAGCTTAGTTACAACCAAGAAGGATTTTCACAAAATAAATTTAGCCTTGTGATATAAAAATAATAGCCTTATAAATTGGGTAATTAGAATAGCCACTCATAACATATCTCTAGATGTTGTCAGTAATGAAATCCAGAATGTCACTTAGTAAATCAAAATTTCTCCCTCCCCCTAGGTATATGGTAAAGAGGCACTAGGGTATGATCTGAACTATAATTAATGAGATTCATTCCTCGTGGAACCTTGCTAGAAGACAGTAACTAGTTCTGATCAAAGAAACTTCATTTGTTAGAAGTTTTAGCGAGTGAGATTTAGCAGAGCTATCAAGGGTTATGATTAATCTACACTAGACCCTTAGCTTCTTCAAAGAAAAGGAACAGAAAGCAGGCTATAGGAATACCACCTGCTCTTCTGTTCAAACCCAGCTGCCAGTTTGCAGCTCCGGAGACCACAGCTATGCATATCATGGAGAAAGAACAGCCACCCGGCTGTCTTCCATGCCTTTGCCTACTCCATTACTCTAACCAGAGAAGTTGTTTTCTAATGAAAGTTCAACATCTTAACGGTATTAGATGCAATTCATGTATTATTTGTAGCTAGAAAAGTTATCCCTCTGCGAGGGTACAGTGCCTTGATGTCTCTTATCAGTGTGATTAAAAAAAGAAAAAGATAGTGAAGGCAATAGAAGCGAAGTCTTCGTCAGAGGGCATCGGAGGAAACTGAAGAAGGTTTAACTATTTTGGAGGAGGGAAACACACAAAATGCTCAAGATTACAGCTTGGCATTTCTTTTCTTGGGACTGTTTTAGGTACATGCACATTTGGTGTTTTTTATCCTTCTGTGTCCAAGTTTAAAACTTTATGCCTAAGAGAGAAAGCATGATGTAGCAATGGGATCTCTGGACTGTGGGAAGGCCACCTAGTCTAGTGCTTAGCTATTAGCTTTGGGTGAGTCCCTTAACTTCTCTTGAGCCTCTGCATCATAATTTGTAAAATGAGGGACTTTGGAATTGATGGATGTCTGCGGTACTTTACTGTGCTGTAAATGAGTTGTTCGATAAATATGAAGCTCTGAATAGTTGGTTCAGAGTTTGTTTGTTTTACTAAAGCTGGGTGTTTGACACTTAGGAAAGAGGAAACTCAGGTGAATATTCTTTCAAATTTTAGTCAAGTTGTGAAATCCATAGAACCCAGCTAGACTCCTTATTCATGATGGAAAAATATCTCCAAAATATAGAAATGTTCCTGTGTTTAGTATAACATTATATATGTGCTATATATAATACATTAATCTTTGTTTGTATAATTTTATATATATATTTAGACTTTGCCGTCTGTTATTTTTTTCTTCTATAAAACAAATAAGTGCATGTTAATGGCAATGCATTACATAATCCTATACTTTAGTTTTATAATAGGAGTATGTAGTAGTATATAGTTAGGTAATCTGCCATGAATAGAGGCACTGAATGATGCTTGTGAGTATAAATGCACTTTTTTTATTTTAACATGATGAATGCTTTGAAATAGCAAGGGCACAGAAGGAAGTATTTGGATGCAAACAAGTAATATAGGATTGGTGAACTTTAGGGGTGACTGTACTGTGTACTTAACTTAAGCATCTTTATTGCTCAGTAAGGATAGTGTAATCCCATGTGGGTGCCCTCTCCTTCCATCATCAGGCACATATTAAGTGAAATTTTTTAATCAATAAAAAACCTTCAATTTTGACTTATACAATCTGCGTGGACCAGTTTGTTAAATAGCTTTCTTTTAAGACTGTTAGCCATTTACTCACATTTTATCCCTGAAGGAAACCGCTCTGTGTAAAGAAAGGTTTTGCTAAAATTATTTAATGTTGTTTAACTTCACATACACCATGTCATTTTACTGTGTACACCATGAATTCATTACTTTCACCACTTCATATGTATGACTTTAGAAATGATTTATTAAGGACTTTATAAAGTTGGAGCCTTTTTATTTCCAGAATTTAGTTTGATTTTTATAGTACGGCCCAAGAAAAGAAAGTCTCACACTCCTTGAACAAGGCAATATTAAATATTGAACTAGTTTGAGGTCTTTGACACCTTTTGATTCTTTCTTGTAGTCCCAGCTCTCTCTCTTTTTTCTGTTTGTGCCTTCTTTTAGGTATACAAATGCTCTCAGTCCAGCCAGACACCAAGCCGAAAGGTTGTGCTGGCTGCAACCGAAAGATCAAGGACCGGTATCTTCTAAAGGCACTGGACAAATACTGGCATGAAGACTGCCTGAAGTGTGCTTGCTGCGACTGTCGATTGGGAGAGGTGGGCTCCACCCTGTACACTAAAGCTAATCTTATCCTTTGTCGCAGAGACTATCTGAGGTAGGAATTATCCTTGCACACCAGTGATGACTGGATTCCTTTTAAAATATTTTTGTAAGTGTATTTTTGTTTGTTTGTTTCGTTTCCTCACTACCAGCCTATATTCCTGAAAGATGTTGACCTGTCAGCCTTCAAAATGTTGCCAGGTGCCTGTTGAGCAACCTATAGCTTAAACAATGGCCAAAAATGCACAGTGTCTGAAGTGTTTCCGTGTGGCTTGCCTGGTTGCTCATATTTAGGGATAGGTTATTGGACTGCCTACATTGAAGCTGCCAGTTCATGTCAAGGACATATTTGGTAGAAATGAGCATATAGCATATAAATTTTTTATTAGGCCATAAGCGACAAGGTGGGCTGAGCATAACACATAATATTTACCTATCTTTCTGTTTCAGAGTTGTCAGAGAAAATGCATGTGAAATTCTCACTTGGTATTTATTAGTATATATGTTATCTAATTTTGAAAACTTTCCCAAAGTGTGAATACATCTTTCCCCCTTGGCATTCCAAGTGATCATCGCAAGATATCACTGAGCATCACCAGCTCACACTTGCCAGTGGTTCTGTGGAAATTAACTAAGTAAGGATCTGCATCGTTGTGGGGAAATGACAACCAGTCTCCTCGGTGCATGCATCTGAACAGGTTCAGGCCAAGGCAGAGGTTCTTGCTCATGAAGCCATGGAGCTAACTTAACTTGTTTCCCAGCATTTGGTACTCAACACGTGAACTTCTGTTTAAGAACAATTATTTTGCTTTCCGGGGAACCTTGTGACTAGATTCAGCTGCAAATGACTTATAGTAATAAAGTAGAATCTATCAAATTAGAGAAATGATATATGGCATCATTTGGGTGTTCATGTTTGATATAATTAATCATTTTTCTAGTCTAACATTGAGATTTATTTTGAATGTTTTCCCCCTTATGACATAAATTTATCAGTCGATGGTAACTCCTTAGCCATATTGGTCATTTTGGGAGGTACTTTCTAGGAAATTTAGTGCTTCTTACTATATAATTCAGTTATTTTTCAGTCTGAATTAATCTTGATATATAAAAATACATTGATTGTTGATAGTTAGAAGAAGGGGAATCCAGTTCTGTTTTTCAAATTCTAGTCATTCCCTTCTTAGGACTGGCTCATCTGACAGCCTCCTGACTGATTCTAGCCACTTGTTACTCTTTCTCTGCATTCTTGTGCTCAGAAGACATGCAAGGTACCAACAAAGGGAAGTGACTATAGCCAGGACTTCCCTCGTGGTGGCACAACTAACCAGAATTAACTTACTGCGTGAATTCTTTTACAACTGCGGTCATTGAACTTTTCTCTTTGAAATGAAATTTTCTCCTCTGTTCATGTGAATTACAGCCTCATTTCTACATAGAGCATTTATTTGGCCTTTAATGGCAACATGGCTTTTAGTTTCACTTTATCTTTGTTAACCAATAAGCCGTGTTTGTTTGTTGTTGTTGTTTAACTCTTTCTGACTTTTACTTTTGTTTGCAAATATAGTATCTCAAGTGGATTGATGTAACAACAGTTGCAAAACAAGAATTTTACATAGTCTGGCAAGGTTAAGGTGTCATAATAAGCAATAAAAACAGAATGAAATTAAATTTAAAGAAACTCTTTGAAAATATCTGGATTTTTAAATCAAAAAATATAAATTTGTCAATGAAATACCTGTGTCTTAAGTGAAGTTGTTTTGCAGTTGTCAATATAATAGTGAGCAAAAAAGTAAACCTGGACTTGTTTTATTTTATTCTTTTTTATGGTAATAAAATATGATATGTAATTGCTAGTTGACATCTCAAGTAAGTGTTTTGTTAAAGGGAATTTTCAAAGAAGTTTTCATGTCAGAAATTCTTATCTATCTCTAAAGAGTCCATATGTTGCTATTTGTAATATAACCTTTAATTTCTGACAAGCTCAAACTTTTAAGGCTGTTAACTTATTTTTGGAAACATATGCTCTTTCAAATATAAACCCTGGTCCTGATTGCCAATATATTCATTTCTCAAAGTACAGTTTCCTCTTAAATTGGTCATTACCACATTAATGGCTAGTTGTTATGTTAACAGCCTAAAGGTTGTTAACATTTCCAACTAAGTTGTTAACAGCAAGCTTATCCCTTATTTAAACTGAAGGTTTGTTGTATATAATGTGATTTCTTTGGCAACTGGTAATTCATCAACACTTGAAATTTGCAGAAGTGAATAAGAAATTGGTATGTGAGTCAAAATACTGCGTTATGTGTTGTAGGTTACACCACAGATGTGGTATTTGGTTTTATGTGGAAAGAATGTAGCTCGGTGAAACTGTGTGGATGTTCAATAGCATATGTCTCTGATTGGCACCTTAAAATAATCTGATTCTGTTTGTCAAATGGGCTAGTACAATCCAACAAATATTATTTACAAATTAATTTCTTTGAAAGGTTTATTGAATGCCTGCTGTGTGAAAGGCATACTTTAAGGTAATGGATGAAATAACTAACCGAAAAAGGGAAGTTTACCTAAAATTGTTATTACCTAATCATTTAATAACATTAAGATATTTGCAACAGGACCGTGAACAAGTGGTATTTGGTGGCTGTTTCCTCCTAGTTCTGCTCATTTCTTTTCTGGACTCTGCATACCCAGTGCTTAACCATTTAAATCCCATTAAAATGGCTCAGTTTTGTTTTTGGGCTTTGGATATTATATAAGTAATTTGAAGCACCAAACAAGCCATAAATAACTTACAGGTTTATATTTCTCTAAGTCACTGGCAATATCAAAGGAAGAATATGGAAAATGAATAAAGGAAAACAATAGTTTACTAGTAAATTATTTGTTATATGTATTATCTTGGGCTAGATACTTTTTTCATATCTATAAAATGACCTATTTTTGACAATTGTATTTAACTTCCTAATCACTCCCCTCCAAAAAAACAACCACCAAACAAGCAATAAGAGAGACATTTTTAATTCTGAACAATGATTCTTGAAGTTCTAATATTTTATTTTGCATTAGTTGGAGCAAGGATAGTGATGACCTGTTTTTACAAGTTCTTTGAATGATAAATACAAGAATTTAAATGATAAGATATTTTCTTATTGGTTCTAAGAACTCTGATTGTGGTAAATTTGATATCTCTCAGATATTTTTCTCCTTTGCGGCACAATTAGCTATACTTAAGAAAAAGGAAAGATTTTACAGTTTATGTGCTGAGTTTCAAATCTGAACAGTTCACTTTCTGTAACAGAGCTGATGTACTTTGTTCTTCTGTAGAATACAGAATGCATGAATGCGATGGGAGAGAATTTGCCAGTTTGTAGGATTGTTCTCTGCTTTTTCTGTCATTACATAAAAGGAACAGGAGGGTTCACTTTCAAAACCTCCTCTATTAAAACGCTTTCTGACTTAAACTATGAAGTCAAAGTCAGTCTGCCCATCAATATTTATATGTCAAGACGTTGAAAGGTATCTGTTAAAAGGTATCCAACACATTTATAACATTTTATTATTAAAAGATGAGCTTATGACTAATTAAAATGGAAGCATCTTTTTGTACCTTGAACCGGAGCTTAAAATGAATAGACTGACTAAAGTAGATTAACAATCATTTTATAAAAATAGCAAAGTTTTAGTAATGGTATTTATAGGGCTCGAAACACTGCCAAACTATCATCTTTATTTCAGTTTGGAAAACATGAATAAAGTAGTTCATATATAATCAGGGTTTTAGAATTAAGATTTTTGTGGCAAGTGTTAAGAAGTCAGAACCAGGAAAAATAACAAAATACTTTTCAACTTGGAGGCAGCAAAGGATATCAAAATTTATCACTCAAGTTTTTGCTTCTTTTTTTTGCTAAGCCTAAAACTTCTTACTTGTGGTATATTTTAAACATTAAGTCAATATAAGGCTGTATCTTGTATCTCTATGAATTGTGTCTTACCAGAGAATGTATTCAAAGTTCTTTGCTGTGATATGTGCCATAGGAAGCTACTTAAAGCTTTCCCTATATGAGAAGCTGAAAATGTCATATAAATTGTAATTCAATTTGCTATTTTTATATGTGAGGATGATTTCTCTAAAATGAAACTACTGAGAAAGAGGGGTGCTTCATGCTCCACCAGAGTAGCCAATTAACAAAAATGATTTTAATTTGCTGTGCTTACTACAAATTAATGCTTTCATATAATGATATAATAACTTTAAAATAAAAGATCAAAGTCGAATGCTACATTAATCTAGTAGCACTGTAGCTAGTGTTAATCTAGCTATAACTTTATTTCATACTGATCAAACCTGGTGCCTCTACATTTCTATATAAGGTTAAATTAATATTAGTAAATAATTAAGGCTTTAAAAGAAAACATGACTATGTTGTTCATTTTATTTTATCTGACAACTTTATTGCACAATGTTTTCTAAGGTTGAATAAAGTGTTCATTTTTTTCCATCATTGTCATCTTTTTAATATTAGGCAGTTGAAACTATCTTTCCCGGAAAGCAGTGAATTATTGTTATTTGAAAAATAACTTTTATTTTAAATTCTAAAAATGTAAGCTTGTATGTGGAATAGAAGTCCTTCCATATAAACATTTTTCTTCTCTACAAGCTTCATTGAAGCTTTCTTAGCACTTTATTATAGTCATAACTTTTGCCATATTTAAATGTCTAAGTTAATCTTAGTGTTATGAAATATTTTGACATATCAGTGTATTCGACTCTATGGTCTGTTAAAAAGTTCTATTTCTTGCAAATTATCTTACCATATTTATAGCTTTATAAAAGTTGTAATTTTTAGTCCATTTTTCTGTTTGTTATAGTAAAGCATTATGAAATTCTATTTAAAGTATTTTAGACCTATACCGTTCATGGACCAGTATGAATCAGGAGTGACAGTTTTGTTTTGTAAAATGCTCTGGGAGAGGGCCCCTCACTTTAGGAAAAAATGGTGGATTCACACCAGACGTCCTCTGTCCACTTCTTTGCAATAATCCCTTTCA